ATAAAAATTTTGGGAAAACTCTGCTAAATCGTGATGGTAAAGGAAGAGGAAAAGAAGAGGAAGAAGACTCATAGTCAAAATAAGGTTATAAACCATTAGAAAGGTAAGTATTTTCTTAAGTTTTGAAGTTCGATTTCTCTTTAATTTTTAGGATTAGTTTTTTAATACTTCATTGAATATTTTTTAGCCAAGAAAGTGACCAAAAATAATCATGCAACCTTGCTGGATTTTTGAGAGAAAAATATCATAAATAAAGCCGGAACTCTGTCGGAGTTAACATTGTGATTGTTAAGAACTCAAGGTAAGTGTGTATTATGATTTTGTTAACCTATGTAGTTTTTTGAAGTGTTTTACATATTTTTAATATAAATAAATGAGTAAGTAGATATTATGGATTCATTAGCCTACGTAACTTTGAAGTACTTTACGTATTTTCAGTATAAAAATATGCAAATATTTAATTTGTCTTTTGTATTTGCTAAGTAAGTTTTGTTAAAGTTTTATTTTGATATAAGTATTATTTTTCCTTTTCTTTCTGAAATATAATTTTCATATATGCGCATCACTCATTATGGAAAGAAGTTGTTCTAAAAGCACCTGAATTATGGTAGGCTTTAATGTGGTCGAACATAACCATCTGTATACGGGTGTAGTGACAAAGTGATAAGTGTTTACTAATACATAACCGTTTCGTAGTTGGGTGTATAGGGAAACAATCTGATCTGTGTGCCCTAACGGTTCCATATACGAGGGTAGCAATGTTTCAAGATACTCATGTATGTCGTTCCATGTTCGGGTACATAAGAAACTAGTGATAAGTATGTGTGTCTACGCATAAGATATGGTAATTGATTAACCCTCTGTAATAGAGATGAAGTATTCAATGAAGCAATTGTGAATATATTTTTTATTTTCGTATATCTGTTTTCGGAAAGATTATATTATATAAGTTTGTTTGTGTATAAAAAAATAATATATTGCATGTACTATGTTGTGATTTCATAATGTCGCTTATTGGGATACTTTGTCTCACTCTCCCTATCACCCTGCAGATATTGAAGATATTGTTGCAAACTGAGTTGTGATACGGATAAAAGTTATGAAGGTAGACTCTGAGACTATGTTAAGATTAATAAAGTTAAGTTATTTTACTTAACTCGAGTCTATGTGATTTAAGGTTGTATACTTCGATCATTACCTTATAAAACTGGGTATGATCTGTGACAAGTGGTATCAGAGCACGATTTTAGAACATCCCTTAAATACGAGGTTTAGGGTTACATGAGACCTAGATAGAGTTGTGACACATAGTGAAATGCCTCTAAGTTCAAATTTCATGAATGTAGAAAATGGCAAGGATACTGAGAGAGCAGGCACATCGGGTTCTAAAAGACCAGATCGAACAAAGTCTAGATAGAGTCATGCGTATAGTCGAAGGCTTGGTTTGGGTGGTAGGTCAACATGTATCCCATAGCCCAACTGTTACTAACAGTAGTAATGATGGTACCAGTAACACTTAGCCGGTGGAGGAAAATGATGGAAAACTCATTGAAAAATTGAAGAGGATGAACCCACCACCATTTGCTGGTGGAACCGACCCAATATTAGCCGAACAGTGGATCATAGAGTTGGAGAAGATGTTTGAGGTTCTAAGCCCCACTTCAAAGCAAAAGGTATAATTAGTTACATTCATGTTCAAGGGAGGTACAAAACACTGGTGCCACCTGAAGAAGGGATCCCTAAGGACACTTATCCTCGGAAAGCATTTGGAGAGTCATTCTACAAGAAGTATTTCCCTAACTTTGTTTGAAAAAAAAAAGCAAATGAAGTTTCTAGAGTTAAAGAAAGGGAATATGAGAGTGGCAGAATATGCATAAAATTTTATAGAGTTGGCTTGGTTCGTGCCCAACTTAGTAGCAGATATCAGTATATCTAACTAAGGTAGAAGCGATAATAAACTAAAAAAGGCCCATAACAGTAACTGAAGTTCGAAGTTTCTTCGATCTAGCTAGATACTATAGGAATTTTATTGAAATTTTTTCTAAGATCGCTACTCCACTAACTCAGCTCACTAGAAAGGCCATAAAGTTCGAGTAAATGATAAGTGTGAACAAAATTTTTAGGAACTAAAAAAGTAGTTGATAACAGCCCCAGTATTGACTATTCCTAATGGTATTGGTGGATTCTCTATCTACAGTAATGCTTCAAAGTAAGGATTAGGATGTGTGTTAATGCAATAGGAAAAAGTGATAACATATGGTTCTAGATAATTAAAGAATCATGAGCATAACTATCCTACCCATGACGTAGAACTAGCCACCATAGTTTTTGCCTTAAAGATCTGGCGTTATTACCTATATGGTAAAAATTTTGATATTCATATAGACCATAAGGTTTTGAAGTACTTGTTCTCGTAGAAAGAACTTAATATGCACCAAAAGATATAAATGGATTTATTTAAAGATTATGATTGCAAGATCCTATACCATCTGCAAAAGTAATATGGTTGCATATGCATTTAGTAGGAAGAGTATTTGTGCTCTTGCCTATATGATGGCCTTAGAGTATAGACTTATAGAGGATTTTCAAAAGTTGAACCTGAATGTTTGACATAAGAGATCAAGAGGATACTGGATACCTAGCAAATATAAAAGTACAACCCATTTTAGTGCATAAATTAGAGAAGCCCAGCAGTCTGATCTTACCTTGAAATTGATTATGGAAGATGTCAGTAAGGGATTAAAACCATAATTCAGGCTATCAGAAGATGGTGTATTGAGGTTTGGAAACATGATATATGTGGCAAATAATAATAGTTTAAAAAATGAGATAGTAAAAAAAGCCCACTACTCTAGATTTATTATACACCCTAGCAACACAAAGATATATCAGAACTTGAAGACCAAGTACCAGTGAAGTGGGATGAAGAAGGATATAGCAGAGTTCATTTCTAAATGTCTCACCTGCCAACAAGTAAAGGTTGAACCTCAAAGGCTAGTAGGACTACTTCAGCCCTTACTGGTAGTAGAGTGGATATGAATGCAAAATATCCACATCTATCTGTGACCAGTGGTAAGTTCAATTTAGGGGACCAATTTTGTTTAGGGGGGAGGCTGTGATGGTTCAAAAATACTCGCGTTTTATTTTTTTATGTTTGATATACTTAATTTAACTTTTATATATGTTTCGAAATATATAATAAGGTTAAGGACATAATTTAGAGTCAAACGAAAAAGGATAGATAAGGTTGAAGGAGCTAGAATACGTATGAAAAAACATGAAAAAAGGTAAGAACATTTTAGATGATGTGGTATAATGAAAAGTAGTAACTTTTAGATGAAGTCACATAATCAAAAGTGGCAACTTTTAGATTAGGTGACATGTAAAAAGTGGTAACTTTTAGATGAAGTGACATAACAAAAAGTAACAACTTTTAGATAAAGTGGCATGTGAAAAATGGTAACCTTTTAGATGAAGTGACTTGTGAAAAATGGTAACTTTTTAGATAAAACAGCATGTGAAAAGTGATAACTTTTTAAATGAAGTGACATGATGAAAGGTGGCAACTTTTAGATGAAATTGTATGACAGAATGGTTGCAACCGTTCTCTCGTGGCTCCCTACTCCTATAAATAGGCGATGGAAAAAAGGAGGAAGAGACATTCCGGATGAGAGAAAAACAGTGAGAAGCATAGAGATGAGGAAAGAAGGAGTACAAAGTGTGTGATTTTTAAGAGTATTGTGAGGTTTTAGATTAAAATCTTAGAAAAACTCTACTAAATTCGTGATAGTAAAGGAAGAGAAAAAAAAGTTCACGATAAAAAGAATGTTATAAACCATTAGATAGGTAAGTATTTTTTTAAGTTTTGAAGTTTGGTTTCTCTTTAACTTTCGATATTAGTTTTTGAGTATTATGTTGGATATTTTTTAGTCAAGAAAGTGATCAAAATCATCCAGAAACTCTACCAAATTTTTAAGAGAAAAATGTCATAAATGAAGACAAAACTCTGCCAAATTAAGATTGCGACTGCTTGGGACCTACGGTAAGTGAGTATTATGATTTTGTTAGCCTATGTAGTTTTTTTAAGTGTTTTACATATTTTTAGTATAAATAATTGAGTAACTGGATATTATGGATTCATTGGCCTAGGTAGCTTTGAAGTATTTTCTAAATAAGTATTTGTTAAAGTTTTACTTTGATATAACCTTCACTTTTTGTTTTCGAAATGTGATGTTGATACGTGTGCATCACTCATTATAGAAAGAAGTATTTCTAAAAGTACCTGCATTATGCTAGATTTTAGTGTGGCTGTACATAATCATTTTGTGTTTGGGTGTATTGGCAAAGTAATAAGTGTGCACCCATACATAACTGTTTTGTATTCGAGTGTATTAGCAAAGTGATAAGTGTGTACCCATACATAACTATTTCATGTTTGGGTGTATTATTTTGCTTCCGCATTCAATTTATAATTTATTTCCTTTTAAGTTACGGGCCATTACATACGAGCTGATGCAGTTTCAAATAGTGCTGAACTTCAAGAAACTGAGAACTTGATTAAGTAAGAATTAATTCAAGATGCAGAAAGAATTGCATATATTGACAGCCAGAATCATTTCATTAATATTCTTGTTGGCCAGTATAAAGGAATGTTCATCTATGTAAAAGAAGATTCTGCATTGTGATCAGTGCAGGCTAGTAATAAGTACATGCAATGAATATTAAGTGAGCGAGCAGAGAATATTAGTAAAGGTAGAGGGAATGAGGTCGTAATAAATTTGGTCAAAGGGGATGATCGGGATAAAATTCGTTCGCGGATAAAAATAAATCTTTTCTTCTACTTGTTTGCAGCAAAACAAAAGTACTTGTAAAGTGTTCGGAAAAAACATATTACTACTGCATATGAAAATTTTAGTACAGTTTACTGTATAGACATCATTCGATTAGTTGATCAAATAAGAGAGTTTGCAGTGTACTGAAGAGAATTTCAGTTACCAGCATCACTCCTCATCCCCAGCCAAAACCTTTGCAAGCCATTGATATAGTTGTTCAACCTCCTCCGGTTTTGGGTCATTGCCATTACCAGTAGTTTCTGCCTCTTCGTTGTCAAGAAAGTTCTGCAAGCTCTGGTAATCCGTTACACCTTGGTTTTGGCTTTGATTAGTAGGGGGAGGAAGGTAACTATCTGATGGGATTCCAGGCTGCAGGTTTGAAATGTTTTTCCATAAACCATGTGATGATGATGATGATCCCTGTTGTAGCACCAAAAAAGTCTCCTGCATCCCTTCTGGTTGTGGTCTATATATCGACGACACTTCATCATCCTGCACATCTAGTGATGACTCGCATTGCAAAGCTGCATTGTTATTCTGGAAATTAAATGAGGGTCTAGGATGAAACATCGGCAAATTATTCTGCAGCCAGTTTAATGACGATCCAGGCTGCAGAAGCATATTGTTATTCTGCAGCCCATATGATGATCCAACTTGCACCCTTGAAGCATTGTTTTGAACATTGTTCAATGAGGATCCAACCTGCAACAACGAATTGTTATCATGTACCTCACATGATGATCCAACTTGCACCCTTGAAGCATTGTTTAGAACATTGTTTGATGAGGTTTCAGTCTGCAACAAGGTATTGTTATTCTGTACCTCATGTGATGATCCAACTTGCACCCTTGAAGCATTGTTTTGAAGATTGTTCAATGAGTCTCCAATCTGCAGGAATGAATTTTTATTATGTACCTCATATGATGATCCAACTTGCACCCTTGAAGCATTGTTTTGAACATTGTTCAGTGACATAATAATTAATATGTATATTTATGATATTTGATTTAAAATTTAGAATCAAATCTCTATAAACTATATCGGATCGTATATTAATTACATCAGTATTTAATTAAATTCATCGTTGGGCTAGTAAAGATTAATAATTAATACGTACACGAACCTTATCACATACAATATAAAAGTAAAGAAATACTAGGTAATTAATGCTATTTTCGTATTTTCAGTGAATATTTGAATAAACTGTAGTTTGTGTTGTGAATTTTAGAAATATTGTTAAAATAATTATTAATTAAAAGTGTTTTTAGTCAAAGCTAATTTACGTTTGATAGAAATAGTTGTAAAAAATATTGTCACCTTAAAAAACAAAAAGTTTGTGTTTTGGGAAATTGACTTTTAAAGTTTTAAATATATATTTTTAATAAAAATTAAAGTTATTCTATAAAAATTACTCATTTTAACTTTTGAGTTTAAAATTATTAAAAACAAATTTTGACTTTAATTGTTGTCAAAACTATTTTATATTTTATTCGATTGATTGTAAAAATAATTTTTAATAAATTCACTAAATAGGCTCTTAGTTGCAAATTCATTATATTTCTAGAGCACATAAAAGTTACTTGATTTTTAAAAAAAATAGTGACAGTATGAAACCTGTTTATGACTAGTAACTTGGGGTTGAGTCGACTCTGGAACATTCATGAAACTTAGTGTTGACTTTAGACGAGTTTCTGCATGTAGAAACCAAAGGATATAATTATATAGACATATATATATACACATTAAAATTAAAGTAATAACTTTTTATAAATAGTGGGAAATCACCTTTGTCGCTTAAAGCGCTGACAACAGCTGTAAACTCTAATTCCAGGTCATGGTTCCAAACCATACGTTGTTTCTTAGCACAGTTCCCACCCTTGTCCTCCTCACCATCTTCCCAAGCTGCATTAACGCTAGTATTGTCAAAAGCAGATCTTGTCTTTCTCACTTTTGATTGTCTATTTCCAGGTACAACATTTGGTTCCTTTCGGTTTGACACTGGAATACTTTGAGGGTTCACCTTAGCTTGATTTTCCCCAACTCCATTACCATTCTCTCCTTCTTTAATCGATCCGATTTCATTTGATCTATTTTTCTTTATCCCGTGTTGCCACACATCTCTAACATTCTGTGGTGAAATGGGTTTCTCCAAACAGAAGCATACACCATCCTGCAACGCTTTAAGGGTAGTGTCCATTTCGGTCTCTGATCCCATCACTGCATGATAATAAAAATAGATAAAGAACATCTAAAAAATAAAAAGAGTTATAAAATTTTGAAGCAACATACAAACTGTAGCAATCCCTCTTCTTCTGATTATTTTTAAGAATACGATAATATCAATATCACGTAAAACGTATTGAGATAATGAAGTGTGTGATAAGTCATGTATTGTGTTATATCCTTCTATAAATCATATTGATTGTCAAGTTAAATTATTGGTTTGAACATACATATAATATTTACATAATATTAAAGTTAAAAGACCATATTAATGATATGCTTCTTACATTAGGTAGCTATATTCGAACTTTTTCTCTAAAATATTAATGATTGAACTAAATTTAGATTATCAAAATAGAAAAAATATATTTAATTGTCATCTTATATGGCATTTGTTATCGGATTATGTTTCCTTTTAATTTATTTAATATTATTATCCGTGATTTTCTATTTCTATTAATAATGAATAATTTAATCTGATCAGATACATGCGTTTTTATATGTATCTAAAATGACATAGACATATATAATATATAATAAAATATGAAGATTTTCTTTGTTTAGAAAA